ATGTAATTGCTAAAATGTATAAACTTTGATTGAAATTTGAAACAGAAGAAGAACAAGTGAAAGAATGTAGGATAAAGTGGGCTAAACATTGCGGTTGTAATATACAGATGAAACAATGGGAAAATATGTGGTCAAAAAGACTGAAATTTACACTGTATTATAATCTTGAAGAGAATTTTTATAAAATGATGTACCGTCAGTGTATGTCACCAGAGAGACTGTCTAGAATGTATGAAGCCCTTCAAATTTATGTTGGAAGTATGAACAACAAGAAGGGACATTTGATCATGTTTGGTGGACGTGTAAAAAAGCTAGAAAATTCTGGATTCAAATACATACACCGATTCAGAGGATTTTAAAAAATTATATACAATTGAGACCAGAGCCTTTTCTTTTGGGATTGATGGACAAACAGTTGGAAAAAAGTCATGGAACTTTGTTTTTGTACATGATAAGTGCAGCAAGATTTTACTTTACTTTTTCTTTCCTGCTTACACTTTCAGCTTTCTCTCTCTTTCTTTTTCTTTTTTCTTCCTTACTTTATATTAGTTTGTATTAGTTTTTACCTTTGTTTTTAAAACTTTTAATTTTCTTTCCTGCTTACACTTTCAGCTTTCTCTCTCTTTCTTTTTCTTTTTTCTTCCTTACTTTATATTAGTTTGTATTAGTTTTTACCTTTGTTTTTAAAACTTTTAATAACATTATTTTTTAAAAAAAGGAACCGGGGGGTCCACAGGATGTGGTGAAGGGGAAAATTCCCCATGACCCAATTTATGAATGGAAACCGCACAACCTACTTGAGCCAAGTTTATCTGAGCAGCGCTGGGGACAGACCGCAAGATTCTGCCCACTGAAGGAGAGTAGAAACAAACAACCTTTATACAGTCCTATAATAAATGCTGATTGATGTCAAGTGCCAATCATTCTATTTTTGATAACATGGGTTAGATTTTCTGCTTATAAAGAGAATACATAGTAAATAAAGTGGAGGTTGGCACAAGTCAGCTTTTGTGGTTAGCTACTTCCTAGTTTCCATTTAAAAATACCAGTGCTGATTAAGATAACTCATGAGCCAGCCTCTGCAAACGCCTAAGCAAGCTATTAGGGAGGCCTAGTTGAGTTCAGGGGCCTTGGCATTTTGAAGATTTTGATTCAGGTATTTGCTTTATTCCTTCAGTGGTCCAAAATGTCAAGAAGATGTCCATGACAGTGCAATCAAAACTCTGCCTTTTTGATGTGCATCGTACATGCCAACACCCCTGTACAGAGCTTTATAATTTGCTGCTATCTCCCTTTTCCCACCAAAACATCTCAAGATAAACATAGCCCAAGCCTCGTATGGACCGTCCTCTGATCCCAAGACCTGCCTCACCTTCTGAATTCTGACGGGATGTGGCTCCCTTGATGCGGAAAGCTTGCCGAGCCCGGCTCTGGTCTCCAAAACTCCAGCTCTTGGGGACTTTACTTGGACTATCTTCCACACTCTGGTCTGCACTGGGGGATCTTCGGACACCCGGACCCTGAGGAGAACCTTTACTTTTCGTGGTTGCACCTCGGGGGCTGGAGAAGACACGATCTTTCAAGCTGACCTTTTGACTGGACATGGAGACAAATCAAAACAAGACAAAAAAAAAGGGGGAGACAAGCGGGGGGGAGTCACTTCCAAACCACCATGGGGGCTCCCTTTTAGCCATTCAAAATCAATTGTCTTTCAAAGCAGCAGCAGTAGAAGCAGGGGCCGTGAGATGTGGCTTTTGATCATCGCTGACTTGAAAAGGCGTCTCAGGAAAGGTTTCCATGGTGATGGATGGAGATGTGGGGACCCATTAACGAAGGAGGAAAAGAACCAAGGTGATGAATGAGGGGGAAAACATAATGTGATCTTGTAATGTGGAATATCGTAGAGTGCAAATGGAACGACGGTCATGAAGATTTAGATACAAAGCATTGAGTCAGAGCAGCTCCACGCAAGAGGAATGGCCCAATGGTTGAAACCTGAACCTTGATTTCTGATTTTAGCTCTCCAACATATGCCTATCATGAGCCATTTCTACCCGTCTTCTATTCTAAAGAACCTGGCTCATGTGAGCAAGCTGACATGGTGTGAACAGAAGGCTTAATGCTTTCCTGGTTGACCATTAGCTGTTTGCAATGGAATCTATTTGATATATACAGTCCACCTTCCCTTAAGTTCTCAGAGCAGAGAGATATAGATGTTACATTAGGTCATGCCCCATGTATGGGGTTTTACAGGACTTCCATCCCCTCTTGGAAGGTGGAGGGAAATTTCTCTCTGTTTACTGAGTATATATCCTGTGTGGTGTTTTCAGTTACTCTGACCACCATGAGACACTGTGTGACCCGTTTCTTCCTATTTGGGACCTATCCTATTTGCGACTAATGTAATCTGGCTATTCACGTCTGATGAGATCCAAATAAGATGAAACTGGCCGTATAGTGCCTCCTGGTGGTTAACACAACTATATACTAAGGAAAAAGACAAGATAGTTTCCATCTCTTAGTGGCGTCCTCACCCACAATATACGTTCATCTGACATTTATAGATGCATTCCTACTGCAGGTTTTCCTCTTACTTGATTCAAACACACCTGACCTGACTGAAGACCTTTAAAAAATCATTCAGATCCTTACAAACACTGGCAAATCTTACTTTTCACCAATTCTTCTAAATGCTGGTTTGCTTTCCTACCTACATCTACTTAACTTCCTAGTTATAAAACTGATTATAGAAAATAGAACGGAGAACCAACCACATTATCTAGGACAGCTTTCCCCAACCTTGCATCCTCCTACATCTCCCATAATCCCCAATCAGCACAAACCTTGGAGGGCAGCCCAAGTACAAAGCCTATGGTTCCTCACAAAGCTGACATTGCTGGCTTGAACCCTGAAGTCCTCCTGGGGTTTCCCTAACTGGCTTCTTGGATAACCAATCAGGGAAAAAGGACTGTCATGCTACAGGCCCACTGGCTTGGACTAGTGTGCAATGAACATCCTTACTTGCCAGAGTTCTCTCTTTGACTTCTTGCCTCTGATGCAGGTGCGCTCTGAAAGAAGTCAACCTGCTAGTAACATGTGATCTCAGTTACCGATATTGGAGTAAAAGTCCTGGTTCAGAATAGGGGAAGGATCATTTCTCAAGGGAAGATAAAATGGTGTGTATGTATGTGTGCGTGTGTGTAAACGTTCACATGTATAGTACCTATCTCTTTATTCACATTGTAGTAGATCTTTTTTGCATTTTCTATATCTTTCTTTTTTCTTTGTATGTATCTTGGATTTGTGTTAATGTGGTTATCTCATATTGCTTAAATAAAAAAAACTAATAATTTAAAAACATTCTCAAGGGAAGGGCACGAGTTTTGCATGCACAAAGTCTTGGCTTCCGTCCCTGGCACTGTTAATTTGAGCACTTGTGGGCACACTATCTGGGATCCAAGGATGTTGAGATTCAAGCTTTCAAGAACCCAAACGGGATTCCTAGAATTCCCCCTTGACTGGGAAATCTGGAAGTTGCACAGACATCCAGAAGGCTCAGAACTGGAGAAAGCTGAACTAAATCTAATGTCACATTACACATCCTTCAGCCAGACACCTACCATCTGACCTAAACAGCTACAACATGCAGGCAGACTTTGGAAAGACGGTGAAATTGGAAAGTCCAAGTAAATGAAGAAGAGGAACAAAAAATGTAGGTATCTGCAGCTCATTCTGGACCTGGGTTACATTTATGCAAAGAATGCATTTTGCATAAATGCTTTGTATAATCTCACATGGGGCCATAAAGACATTAAACATTTATGTTGGGAGATGAGGATGGATTTGTGTATTAGTGTGGACAAAAATATCTTCCTGGAGAGATGTGACAACATATGGCAGTGTTTCTCAACCTTGGCAACTTGAAGATGTGCGGACTTCAACTCCCAGAATTCCCCA